AATTATATCTTTAATTCTCTAATTTTGGTGAATATTTTTGTCATTTTTGGTAAAAAATGATATTTTCTTTTTGTTAAAAACCACAATCATTTATGGTGAAAAATGATATTTTTGAATTCTTGTTGAAAACAGCAAGTCCCATTGCATTGATACTATGCATATTGTTCATTTTCTAATGATATCTTCTGTTTTTTAATTGAAATGTGCATTGCTAACAGCGGAGCTATCTCAGCCGAGAGGCTGCTTGTTTTCAATATCAGCCATAATTTTTTTTCAATTATGGTGTTACAATATAAAATTCAGGTACTTGATTTTGGTGCTTTCTTGACTGGGTATTCAATGTTTGAAGCGGTTATCATGATTGCAGTACATTATATTTGTCACCGTATTAGTATTTAACTTTACTAAGTTTCAAATCTTATAAAAAAAAAAACAACCTTTTTTCTGTCAAACTTGATCGATTATATTTCAGTTCTGTACAAGAGCAAGATGCTTTTTATTGCAATGAGTTTTCCCATTACATTATTTCTTCTCAAATGCATCTAAATACAGACAGAAACTATGTCACTCGCAATGACTTGTTTATTGAGGATTTTACTGCTACAGTTAGGCAAACAGCACCAGGACAGCTGGAAAATGAATTTTCAGATGAGGAAAGATTTTTATGAACACCAAGGAAAAAATGAAATTGCATTCAAAGAATTGCAGAAAATGAAATAAAAATGTACAGATGAAATACAACGAAAAAGAAAATTCACTGGTCACACTCTTCTGGGCACCCCCCTTAATTTCAAAACTTTAAAACCTTACATGTAATAGGATCAAAGTAATATTTATATAAGAAAAATATAAACATGTGTAAGCAAACGCATTCTAAGCTCAGTGCAGTTATTAAATACTAAATATGAGATGAATCAATTCTCAAAAATACTAATTTATTGTCATTTTATGGATACTGTTATCACTTGTCAACACTTCACTGCCTATGTATTCAATTTAAAAACATATTTAACTTTTTTAATCAATGAAATATTTTGGCAACTCTTGATTTGATAAGTTCTGCTGGTATTACTTAATCTTTTGTTGGTAGTCGGTATTTTAGTATTGCAAAAAATAATGCATTTTATCACATACAGATTTTACATAATTGTCATTTAGAAAATGATGTGTTATCGTGCCACAGAAAAGGTTATCTCAGCCGAAGTATCAAAACTTGTATGTATGCCTTTTTAATCATGTGTTTTAATATTCTTTATTTTTATTAGCTTTATTTATATTTTCATTCATGTACTTTTGTTTGTAATTCCATCTAACATATATATGTATATACAATTAAATACTTTAATCTCATAATATGCTATGTCTTGTCTCTTATTATTAACTAATTAGAGGTAGGTTATACAATTATGTTGTCACTCATATGTTCATTCAAACTATTACCATGACGATACCTGATTCATCATGACACATATATAGTCAGTCACCATAATGAATACTCTTTGTATATTAGTAGACAGACAGCTGGCTGTTTTTATCATAGAATTATAATGCAACCATTTCTCAAAAATGACCTTTGTTGAATTCATCAAAACTGTTTTGTTTGTGATCTGATGCAATATGGCAGTCTGCTGTATTTTAGCTCCACTGTCGACTTTATAGAGCGGAGCTTATCATATGAGTGGTTGTCCATTGTTTTCGGTGTCAACTTTTTAGCTCTGATGTCGACTTTGTCGAGCGGAGCTTATCTTATGAAATATGCATTGCTAACAGCGGAACTATCTCAGCCGACATGCTACTTGTTAGTCCCCGTTCGGACGCAGTCCGAAAACAAGGACTTATGTTTTGACGTATGTGCGTGCGTGCATCACACATACATCATACATGATATTATACATATGCACGTCAATTTGTTTCACGATCTGATTCAAGATGGCCGAATGGCGGCCATTTTTGTGCAAAAAATCATCAAAATCAAGCATTTCCCGGCTGTTTACAGATGGATTTTGTTCAAACTTGGTATATACATTACACATTATAGGACCTTGATGCACATCATTTTGTTTTACGATCTGATTCAAGATAGCCGAATGGCGGCCATTTTTGTGCTAAAAAATCCTAAAAATCAAGCATTTCTCGGCTGTTTACAGATTGATTTTGTTCAAACTTGGTATATGCATTAGACATTATAGGACCTTGATGCAAATAATTTTGTTTTTCAGATAAGATTCAAAATGGCCGATTGGCGGCCATTTTGTATTAATGAATGTGGTTCTCGTGCCATATCTCTGACTTGCTTTTACTGATTATGTTCAAATTTTAAATATTCACTATACATCATGTCATAGACAGACAGATATATTGGTTTGACGATTCTATTCAAAATGGCCAAATGGTGGCCTTTTTTGTGCTAAGCATGGGTGGATTTTGTTCAAACTTGGTACATATATTAGACATTACAGGTTCCTGATGCACATCATTTATTTTTCAGATCGGATTCAAAATAGCTGTCTGGCAGCCATTTTGTTTCAATGAATGGGCTTCTAGACCCATATCTCCGACTTGTTTTGACTGATAATATTTTCAAATTTTAAATATTCATTATACATCATGTCATAGATAAACAGATATATTGGTTTGACTATCCTATTCAAAATGGCCGAATGGTGGTCATTTTTGTGCTAAAAAAATCATCAAATATCAAGCATTTATGGGTGGATTTCATTCAAACTTGGTACATACATTAGACAATACGGGTTCCTGATGCACGTCATTTTATCAAATTGGATTCAAAATGGCTGACTGGCGGCCATTTTGTTTTAATGATTGGGCTTCTAGAGCCATATCTCTTAAATGCTTTGACTGATTATATTCAAATTTTATATATTTGTTATACATCATGTTAAATATGTACATGTATTCAAAATGGCTGATTTTTAATGCTGTTCCAGAGCAATATCTCTCAATATGGACAAGTACTTGTCTGACGATCAGATACAAATATCAATCATTTTAATGTTAAAAAATCATATTTCTCACATGGTTGTATTCCAGCTATATTACTATAAACAAAACTATATATCTTAAATTTGATAACTAACGGAGACTGTGCCATGCATGACTTGTTTTATTTTATTTTACTCACTCTGTTGACCCTAAAACAAGTTTCTATGTTGAAACTAAACATTGCCATGTGTTAGGTATTATTGATGCTCTCTTTCTAGTGGCAGTGTGCAAACAGAAAAGATACTCAAATTTCATGTCACAGTGTAAGGCCTGCTTATTGCTATTGAGAGAGGCACTCATAAGACTCACACTGGACAAAGGGGTTCTTTCACCACTAGTATGGGGTAGACAAGACAATAGCACTGGAAATAAAATACACATATACCAAAATATCAAGTTAAAGATCCTGGCTTTATTACCTCTCAAAATAATTACAAGAAACAGCACAGAAAAATACAATGAATAAATTCACTAAAATAGGGGATTGCTTAGAGAAGTGTGCATTGGTGATATCTCCTAGTTCCAGGATGTAGAAATGGATGACAGTCAATGTCTTCTGCAAAACAACGATGAAGAAATACAGGATTCTTGCTTGCAGAGGAGCGCTGTTATTCTGGAGAGCACCGCTGTTAGCAGGAGATGACAGAGCAGCTCATACAAGTTTCCCAGAATGATTTCCCAGGTTGAAGCCTGTATCACTTGTCTCACAATATCGCAACAGCAACACACAGGGTACTCAGTTGAAATGATGAACCCCAACTGTTCCTCATTCTAGCCAATTTATAGGCACAAATGGCCGAGATTCAGGGACACCACCAGAGTTTCCACGTGCCAATCAGAATGTGTTTTTGCTAGCGACTGTCTCACATAGGCAAGTCAGTAGATCATAAACGTCCTTTGTTATTCAAATAACAGCACACCTGGTAGATTCCAATTCTCCTTCCAGAGTTGAAAACAAGTATGATCTGTCAATCACCTTTATGACAGTTATCACACGGCAATGTACATCGTTTTTCCCATGATTCCATGCACACCTCTATTTGCAGGGTTTGAGGCAATATGACAAAAGCATAGAATAGATGATGCTGATTATTTCCAGTGGCACTTTGCCTCTAGAGAGAGTCGCATATATCTCAATATATTGGAAATGATGCTTGCTAAATTTGATAACTGATTGGTATTAATATTGTTTTGGTATAATTAGATTGATTTGAAAATATGACTACTTTTATTGAAAATAAATTCTGTAAGTAACACTATTCTAAAACAAAATGTGGTGTACAATCACGTATCAGTATGTCACTTTTAAATTTAAGTTAAATTTAACTATTTAAAGGTTGTTTCAAAATAGACAATCTTCAATAGACAATGTTCTGTT